GGTTGTTCGAGGGAGACACATCGACGGGGAAGGCCCGTTCGAAGGCGCACAGACGGGGCAAGGGACGCAGGGAACCGCACAAATGGGGGACGGAGGTGAAGGGCCATCTAAAGGTAGCTGCGTGGACGAGGGAGGGTACAGAGATGGTGTCGTGCTGCAGCACGTGGGAAACAATTCTCCCACGGCACGAGAAGGGGAGCGCATAGCAGAATTTCGCACGGGGAAGAGAAATAGCGAGCCGCTGTGGAAGGCTATCTTTGGATAGTGGATTTCACAGTGGTCTACTTGTGCTACAGTCTAGCACAAATGAAGCTATAGGAAATATCTGAGAAGAACAAGCGAAACCGTGCGAAAGTGGAGTACCACCAGGCTATAGGATCTCGCTCCTATATTGTCCAGATGCAAAAATTTGTAAGTGATAGTTGTATTTTATTGTTACTCTTGCCTTTGTATAAATATAAAGCAAAAATCATGTGCAATGTGAACAGAAGGAGAACAAGAGGAAGGCAGCAGAACACGATCAAGGACTTGAAGAAGAAAATGGGTCACCTGATGAAGATGTTAATGCTGTGAAATTCTTCAGGGACTTCCATGCCAGTAGAAAGAGCAGCAATTGTAAGTACCTTCTTTTGCTTCCCTTGAAATCTACTGAAGCCATTGCCATAAAAGAAGGAAACGTAGTAGGAGCCTAGTGTTATGGAAATCTCCTAAAATCTACTAAAGCTTATGTAATCTCTATCAATAGTAGGCTGAGGAAGACCTATGCATTACTTGTTATAAATCAATCTCTTGGGTTTTCAATTGAAGTCCCCTTACACTATCTGTAACCTAATGTTTTACTGATTAAATTCGTATGAAGCTATGGAAATTATGCAAGCAGAACCTATTGCTGATGGGCAACAACCAATGACTAGTGCTGATGTTGTTTGCAAGGTCCTCTGCATCTACCAGGGCAAGGCCCCCTCCTAGGGAAGCGACAACCTTTTTTTGAAGAATGTTGGTATCTAGACAAGTTCCACTAGAACAGAGACATCGAATGAGAGAATGCTTCTGGAACAACTTGCTGCTAAATAGGAAAGTTCCGTTGCCCTCGTCGATCAAGTGGATAAACTGAAGAGGAAGACAGAAAAGACTGAAAGGGAGCTTGAGGAATACAAGAAACGGCAACATGAGGAGTACAACAATCTCCACGAGCTATGTAGTGAATATTTGTGGTTTGATGTGTGGACTCATGTGCCGGTTTGATGTGTGGACTTGTATGTTGGTTTGATGTGGTGATACTCTGTCAGTGGTTCACTGCTGACGTGTGAAATGCAATTGTTGTTATTTGATTGCCAGGCTAAATAGTTATGTAGTCAGTCTATGCAGTAGTGACGATCTCGAATTACTTCAATGACGAATTGATTGTACTCCGCTCGACAGAACCAGGACAGACCACGTGATCAAATAAAAATACAACACGTGGACAAACCAGTACATGACACATGCAATAGCCAGGACTCGACATGTGGGCTATTAAAATCCGACACGTGGATGGAAGTCGTGAAGCCACGTGGCTGAATAAAAATACGAAACGTGGACGGACAACACCGTGACTCGTGGTCGAATAAGAAACGTCCACGTGGACCAATAAAAATACGACACATGGTTTAATGAAGAAGTGATACGTGATCCAACTGTAACATCACATGTGTGCCAATAGAAAACCGATATGTGGAACAACTGGGCCCCGACGTGTGGTCTAGTAAGAACCTGATTCGTGCAAGAACTAGAGATGGCCACGTTGTGCAATAAGAAGGTGACACGTATCCAAACCATCTCCAATGCAACCGGCTATAGCATGTATATGTGGACTATAGGATGTACACGTGGAAAGCATCTCCAGGGGAAGCGCCCACTAGCGTGGCAGCCCCTGCCACAAATGCCAAAACAGTTCTATGACAGTCTATTTTTCGTCATAGATCAAGACACTTCTATGACAATTTTGTCATATTCGTCATAGATGTGCAAGTGTGACGCGACTTCTATGACAAATCGTTTTTCATCATAAAATCGTCATAAAACTGAAATTATGAAGAATTTGCCTCCTTCAGTGACAAAAGCTGATCGTCATAGAAGTGGATATTCCTAGTAGTGACATAAGATGGTACATCGGGACAAGCAGCATCTAGGCCATGATAGGCTTGTGGGTGGTGGATTACTTTGTAGAGGTCCTCATGTATCCATAGAAATGTTTTTGCGCATTGTGGATGCTATGAAATCCCCTTGTTCATACTTCAAGTACAAACGCAATGCAATCGGGGACTTTAGCCATAATGTTTTGAAGAAGATTACAACAACATTTCGTATGCTGGCATATGGTGTCCCAGCTCATTCTCTTGATGACTCACTTCGAATTACGGAGGGAACCACCATATTGAGTTTCAGGAAATTTGTGAAAACTATAATTAAGGTATTTGGACAAGAATGTTTCTGAGCACCAGACTATAGAGGACATTGCAAGGCTTATGGGAATTGGTTAACCAAAAGGGTTCCTAGGAATGCTTGGATGCATCGATTGCATACATTGGAAGTGGATGAATTGCCCTATGGCATGGCATGGACAATTTAAAGGGCATTATCATGATCCAACAATCATTCTTGAAGTTGTGTGTGGACTTGCTAGATTTTGGGACCAAAATACTTTGTGGCACATCATGACAACATGTGTGATAATGCACAACATGATAATAGAGAATGAGCAAGGGCAATCGAAAGACTTCAACTATAACTATATATATGGGGACACCTATGAGGCCTGAGATGAATCAAGACCGAATCAAGAAATTTTTGGAAGTACATCAAAAGATCAAAGATTGTGCAACACATGAACAACTTCACTGGTGACCTTGTTAAGCATGGGTGGCAAATCCATGGGCAATAGATTTCTCTTTATTTTTGCATGCTTATGTGGGTTACTATTTTGTGCATTCAGAATTTCAGACCTATATTTTGTTTTGAACTTTACTTAAAAATAGAATTCAAAATTATGGATTGAAATGTTGTTGAATCGTGTATGCGGTAGAATAAGAAAAGTTTGGATTTTTTATGTTGTTGAAATCAGGTTTACACTGTAGGGTATATATGTAAAAGAGAGAAGAAATGGAGGAAAGGTAATATAGAGGACGTAATTTGTTGTCAATATGTTAAAACACATAGCCCCTTTTGGGGCCTGTTTGGTAGAGCTCTACTCCCTGATCTTAGCTCTAGCTCCTTGATTCTCTGGTGGAGTGAGCAGGGCGCAGAACAGGTGAGAATTAATTCTAAAGTGATTGGTGGAATTGAATAAGGAACAGTGAGGGCAGATTATTTTAGCTCCTTGCTCAAAATGTGTAGGGAGGTCTGCTATTTAGCTAAAAAAAGGTGTGATTTTCAAGGAGAATCAGCTCCAAGGAGCATCGCCAAACAACCCCTTAATCAGGAACTATGTTTTCTCAATCTCATTTAGACAATATAATTGTAGGGGATTGTTTTTTTTAATCTGGTGAAGTTGCTCACCTATGATCAGTTTATATCCATGTCAAGTAGATTAGAGATCACCTGGCTTAGCTCCTTCTAACATATAATATATGCGTGGGGAGCCACCTGGATAGTGTAATTTTCTTGTTTTAGCTTCAAGTAGAGTCAGGAAGAAATGCCTAATAGACAATCGAGATATGTGCACTTGGATCGAGTTCTCGACTTTAGGATGATTCTCGACTTGTGGATCATATACTGAAAGTATTGTTGATGATTTATCAGTAAGAAAAATATTATTCGTTGACTAAATAAGTGCGGCTTACAAGTCAAGCAGAGAGGTCTATACCACAGCAGTAAGCTTTTCCCGTCCCAAGTTGAGTCGTGTCACTCCCCCGCTCACCAGGACAAAAGATACCCGCTGGTGGCCGGCAAGACGGATGTTACGCATGAAACGCTTGCCGCCACAATTTCTGCTTCCACTATTCATTTTACTTGAAAGTCTTTTTTTCCTTTTTTTATTGAGGAATCTCCTGCTCGATCGGCTCTTGCATTAGTGCAATGAAAGAAATCAGAGAAGCAATAAGGCTTTTTTTTAAAAGAAAAGGACTCCAAATTATTATTTAGAACAATAAGAACAGAGTACATAGATTTGGGTACTCCTGTCCTAAAAAGCTAACTTGTAGCTTTGAAGCGACAACTAAAGAGTCGTCACAATGACTAAGGCAAAGGTATATGTCGGTGCTACTATTCTAAAAATGTCTGATTTTTTTCTTGGACGATGATTATTAACTAGATAGATGGTGTACGTTTAACTCGCTAGTGGTGCCTTAATTATTCTTTGCGTGTGCTGTGTGATAAAAAATTGTCAGTTGTGTTATAGAATGTTTTTTTTTTCAATTAATCACCTCCCGTTAAATTAAACTACCACTACTTGAAATCTACCAGAACCGAAGAACAGACTTGGAAAAAAAAAGGAGAGATTTCTGTTTGGAAGAGAAACCCAGAAAAAGAAAAAGGTGACATAGTTGGGTTTGGTTTGTGGCTGGCTGGTTACCGGTAATAGCGGCCGAGAGACTGAGAGAGCAACCACGTCCACACCCATTTAACTGCCATCTCCTGCTTTCTCTTTCTGCAGTTTTAATGATCGAGCAGCTGCTTGCTGACTGCTTCTCTCCTTTCCTTTTCCTTGAGCTCCGATCCGATCCTTCCTATTCCTGCCTAGTTGATCCACTCATGCACTTGTGTGTGCTCTGGAAGTCTGGACGCCATACGTGCCATTGCCACCACCCGACCACCGCAACGAGCTGCAATAATCCATAATCCGACCTGATGAAGGGCGGTGCTCCGGCGTCCAACAAGGCGGCGGTGGACGCGCACGCTGGTGGCGCACGTCCTGGCCGTGGCCGCCATCGTGCTGGTGCTCCTCTGGTGCATCCACTTCCGCGGCGGCCTCGCCCTCCGCTCCCAGGACAAGCCTCATCTTCAACGTCCACCCCGTGCTCATGGTCCTCGGCCCCATCGTCCTCGCCGGAGAAGCCATCCTCAGCTACCGCTCTCTCCCGCTCGCGCGCGACGCCAGGAAAAAGGTGCACCTGGCGCTGCACGCCGCGGGCCTCGCCGCCGGGGTCCTCGGCGTCTACGCCGTCTTCAAGTTCCACGTCGAGAGCGGCATCCCCAACCTCTACTCGCTCCACTCCTGGGTCGGCATCGCCGCCATCACCCTCTACGGGCTCCAGTGGACCGCCGGATTCCTCACCTACTTCTTCCCCGGCGCCTCCCCCGCCACCAGCCGCAGAACGCTGCCATGGCACGCCGTCTTCGGCCTCCTCATCTTCGTGCTCGCCGTCTGCACCGCGCAGCTGGGCTTCCTCCAGAAGCTCACCTTCATGCAGGGCCAGCCCCTGCGCCTGCCCAAAGTACGGTGCAGAGGCGCTGCTCGTCAACTTCACCGCCGTCATCGTGCTCCTCTTCGGCGTCGCCGTCGTGCTTGCCACCGTCAACATCGACGGGACCAGGTACAACACCATTATGTGAGCGTCAAGCTGCCATCTTGATCGATGACACGTCATGCTACGAGATACTCTCGTCATATATGTATACGGTCGACTTGTGCTAGTATATGATGAAACATATGATGCTGTGTACAGTACAAATTACTAATTACTGTGGTACGGAATTGTATTTCTACCTATAATATGTTGTTAAGGTGTGTAATGTGTTTTTTTTTATCATCTACACGTTGTAAATTGTAAAATCCTATAGTAGTCCGTTAATCCGTGCGAAGAGGCGAGGTCAGAGGAAGAGGTTCGCCGACGCACCATAGAGAATGGAGGCGTGAACGCAATCGCTCAATGGTCGGAGCGCTCGCGCTGCCTCTGCTAGGGTGATTGTCGGGTGGGGTTGGGCCTTGCAGACCACTTTCTTATGGGTTATAGCTAGACTAAGTTGAGGACGGGTGCTATTTGCTTTTCTTGGGTTTGTCTCGGGCTGCAGCCCCCTATAGCCCGGGGCTCAAATCCATCCTAAAGGAGTAGCTATAATTAATCTACCATAGGCCATTTGATGAATACATAACAAAGGGGTACTTAAACCCTTGGATCAGCATCGTAACAATATGATTAACCCCTGACTGATTTCCCCGCTGGATACCGAGAAAAGGCCCACTAGGCCCAAGACAACCTGATCAACGGGCAACCTCATCAATCGTGGAGGACGTCTTTGGTCGGACTGGCGAACACGTCCCTTGCTCGAGAACCTGAGGGCTCTCGAGGAGCTCGATCCAGGTTTCCTGAGGTCTCGGCGTCGATGTTCGGGACTAACCAAAGGTGGCATGGTAGCGTCGGGCCCATACCCCATCGTCCCGACCAACCCTTCATCTACGGCGACTTGGGAGTCTCCTACCAGACCCGACAGACGTAAGGATCCTCACACACCAACAGAACCGTAGAGCTCATGGTCCTGGTAACTATGGCGCTGTTTCCTCACCCCCGTGAGCGTTGTCGGCCACTCGGGACGAAGGGATCATGGCCAGGGCTTGACATAACACGATCAGATGGAGCGCGTGACCTCTCGGCACAAAGGAGGAGACGGAGGCACGGGAAGTCATGTCAGTCTCTCCTGGGAAGGCTCTTCTTTGTTGGCATGTGTGACGAACGACAATAGAAAGACGGACTAGGGTAGATACAACGGTAGCACCTATTCCTGGCCCCCCTGCTCCTGATCCTCGCAGACGATGTAGAGACGATTCTGGGCTCACGCCTACGGCTCCCTTCCGAGGCGCACTTTATACTTATCGACTCCTGGCCTGAGATGAGCTACTCGGCTTCGTGGTCGGTCTCTAGACCCAGCCAACTAAGAGAGAGGCATGCGTTCAACATGAACAGGAAAGGCTCCAAGATTCAGTCCTTAAGCGATATAGACGGAGTCACTGCAAACCGGCAAGCCTCTATCCGGTCTTCATTTCAAATTAAGACTGGTTCTTTTCCACGATAGCAAATATAGCTAACCGTACCATATGTATCTTCCTATATCTCGCAGGTGACAGGAAATCACCCGACTTCTACCGTGTTTGAGCAGGGCTAAGCACTACACGAGCCTGAGCTACATAGGATTCAGGGTATCAATATCTGGACAAGGATTGGATAACCAATGCAGCAAGTGTTTGCATCCAACACCTAAACTTAATGCAACAATATATATATGTAACAATAATACTGTAACTGCATTTCGAAAATTAGGAGGCTTAATATGCTCCGAGGCTTGCCTGGGATCCGACACAAGTCAGTTCAGTTAGCTTGCACCGTCCTGGTGACATCTCAGGTCCTAGCACTTGCTTAGTCCTTCCATCTTCGGGATAAATCCACCATACACCGTCTTCGGGTTCGGCTCCAACATTGCATCCTTCACGTGGTGCATCTAGCGTACCTAGATGAGATGCAATATGCAAGTGTATGAATACATGGAAGTGCAATAGACAATGCATCGCATGCCGTAAGTAAGACAAGCACAAGGTTACATTAATCATGCACAAGCACTTCGCATTGCCTACTTTACATATCGCACAATTTATCATCCCATGATAGCAAAGAAGATGACAACACCAAGCATGACACAAGTTTCCCAAGATCTCAGGTACTCTAACTCAACCATCATCAAAGGTTGAGCCACACTTAGCAATATACAAGCAAACAACTATAATTGTAATCTGTCAATTTCTGGACATGCAAACAGCAGCTAAAAGATTTAGCTATAACTGGAGTTACACAATTCCAAATGACTTGCAAGAAGACATTTTGGAAAGCTTATGAAATTATCTACATTTCATCTGTAACCATCATAGCATGATTCACAAGTTAAGTAGGTCGAAATTATACATTTATAGAAACTGGTCCACAATTGACACAGAGCAGCCATTTCTGAAACCCAACTTTAAACAGGCATAACTCACAAACTACTTGGCCAAATGACACCAAATTTTAACAGAAGCTAGATATATGAATTATCTACAACTTTTATATAAACAAGTTTCACAACAAAGCACATTATCATGAAGAACTTTGCTAAGTTCCCAGATCTATCTAGAAACCATATTTGCAAGAAAATAAATATTAACTTATGTTGCAAACACATAATTAGGCAAAACCAACTTTACCAACATGTCACACATGACTAAAGAACACCAGAAAACCTAGTGTCCATGACCAAATAAATTCTTTTAATGCATTTCTTAATTTATTTTAGATAACAAGATGACTTAATGAGCATATACCAAAAGTATACAATAAATTCTACAAAAATTACAGTGGCTCACATATCCTCTCAATAGTCTACTGTAAAAATTTCACTTCATTTCAATATGTATAGCAACCTCTATGAAAAAGACAAGTTGCTAAAGCAAGAAATCATGTGAGAGCAAGATAAACCAATAACTCACTCATACTTCGTCCAATATTCATAAAATTTTTACCACACATCAACTATCACATGATTAGCATGCCACAAAAATTTCACTTCATTTGGAGCCCTAGATCTACAGTTATGAAAAAAGACAAATACCACTAGCATTACAAACCTAGCTGCATAAATATATTTTTACAGCTAAAACTTTAAAGTAAAACATGTACTATTATAGATCTACTGCATATAGAATTTCACAAGGATTCCAAAAAGTCCTCATTTGCTATTTTACGAATTTCCTATGAATTACTATGAATTTCCAAAGATTTAGCAAATTTACTGCAAATAGGTCCTTATCGGCACTATTCATTTGAGTCACGGACTTCGCAGTTAGACCCTTGAGTTTCGTCGAATTGTCGCGCGAGGTCCTCGACGTCGATTTGCACAGGGAGGTCGCCGGGGTCTCGCTGCTCCGGCCGGAGGAGGCCATGCCGTCGGCGGCTGAGGGGCCGGGGAGCACCAGGGGCCCCTGCAGGCCCCCTGGGCTGCTTTCGGCTGAGCCCAAGGTGGCCCTTACGGCAGCCATGCGTGGCGCCAGGGCTGCATGGCGGTGGCGGCCGAGCTTCCACGGCTAGGGTGGCGGGTTGAGACGGCGAGCACGAGCACGGCGTGAAGGAGATGGCGGCTAGGCTGAGGGTGGTGCTCGTGGGGGTGAGAAAGCTGGGGAGCGGCGAGAGCAGGCTGGTGGCGTGAAGCTCGCTTCGGCCATCAATGGCGGACGCGAGCGAGGGCGAGAGAGAGGCAAGGAGAAGAGCGGTGGGGGCGCGGAGCGTCTGGGAGTGGCTCAGCGTCCACAAAACGCGAGGAGGAGGCAAGGCACGCGGCAGAGAGGTGGGGGCGCTCGGCTCGCATGGTGCGCGCGCCGCCACGCGCCGCGTCGGCATTTTGACGAAAGCGGTGGCGGCGCGATCCAGCGTGTCTTGGAAGCCATTTTGGGCTGGTTCGGTTGGGAATTTGATGGTGGGCCTTTAACGAAGTTTGATCTCCATCCGATGCTCTACAAATTTCGTTAAAGGTTCATAGCCATTAGAGCAAAGGATTAAGATATAATTAGGCCCTAATTTGACACTGTCAATGAATTAATGTCGATCAAAGTAAAGCTCGGTTTTTGTTCATTTTGGGAAGTCAAACTTGGTCCAATTGATCCCATCTTTGGGTATCCTCTTCTCCAAATAATTATCTCCATATTTTATTTTGCGACCCAAACATGTTTCTTACAAAATTTTGGAGAACGCGGAATGTCATCGTCGATGCCCAAGATTTCAGACTTAGGTCTACAAACAGCAGCAGTTTCGATCTTGTAACCTCTGTTTGCATCATCTACAAACTGAACTAGGGCATACTCCAAAAACAAACTATGTTGTACTCAAAACAAAGAACAACTTTTATTAAAGGATCAAGGTCTGGATCAGCTCGGTTTGCAAGATATAAAGCTCCAAAGTAGGGTACCCGCAGTTCAACCTCAGTTAGGACTTAGCCAAATTCCTGGGCTCCAAAACAACACTGTATTGAATCTTGTGAGTTCCATTTGACTAGGTTAGAGGCCAAACTAACTCTTGACCATTAAACAAAGTTTGTTCTACACAAGATGAACTACAACTTTTGTTAAAGGTCAAACCTCATAACTGGTACAGAACCTACTATTCTACTTTGACCAAAATAGGATCACGATGAAGCTTAAATTATCCTTTTTGATCCATTAGAGCATTTTCTGGCCACCTGCTCAACATGAACCCTTCATAACATTTGTTCATGAGTGCAAGTAGAGTTGTTTGAGCATGGTACCAAGGTTTGGTTGACTTCATAGGTTTCCATCCACTTGATAAAGCAATTCATGCAAAGATATGACTTATCATTTCATGTGACTTTTTGATTCCAAACTTCATGAAACTTTTCCACGGGTCTAGATGGATGCATGTGGATGTAATGTACATGGAATAAGCATGTTTAACATTACTCTTGCATAATCTTAACAAGGGTCCATATGTAAGCAATTGTGCGTGGCCCAAGTTTAAGTTGGAGCTCCATCATGTAGATTTGATCTTGACACCTTCATTACCACTCGACATGTCATGTTTGAGCTCAAACCCATTGCTTA